TATATATATATTGTTTTGAATATTTATTTTTTAATTTTATTTCTTAAAATTTAATTTTTATATGAACTTTGATCTTTATTTTTATAATTGTTATTTGCTTTTTCCTTATCATTTTTTTATTGAAATTTTTTATGTATTAAATTTGATTCTCATTCTTGTAATTGTTACTTATTTTATTTAAAATAATTTATGAAATGTTAATTATTATTATTTTAATTTCTTCATCTTTAATTTTTTTATTTTTTAGATTTGATCTCTGTTATTGTGATTATTATTTTTTTATTTGAGATAATTTATGAAATTATATTTTTTTTCAAGTTCATTTTCATTCAACTTTTAAATTTGTAAGATTTGTTCCTCATTATTTTAATAACCTTGAGAAAAATAAAATATTAATAAATTATTTTCCAGCTAATTTTTCATGACATAACCAAATATTAGAAAATTTTTTCCAATTTATTTTTTATTACACTGCCAAATATAAAATTTCAATTTATTTTTTATTACACTGCCAAATATCATAAAATAATTTACTTTATTGGAATTTACTTTTCAAAAAAAAATTACTTTCCAGCAAATAAACGAGGCCTTAATATGCAAGAATTTTCAGTATAAAATTTTTCATAATGAGGCATATTAAGATATAATAGATTATGTAGAACTTATCAAGACTCCTTCTATAGATCTTCTTTAGGATTTGGAATGGGTTCATTTAACCGAATATAGATATAGTGGTATAGTTATGGACATAACTGTTATGATATAAGATAATTAACTTAAAGCAATTGAGACCAATTATATTTATAATGGTTAGGTTAAAAATATCAACCAGGTTTAACTCATTACAACTCATTACAGTAAATTTATATATTAGACCACCATTAATTTAAACATAAAAGACCTTAGTAATTTAAAACATGATAAAAAATATAATTTATTTTAGATACAATACGTTAAGGATAATAGTTTTTTTTTTTTTTTAATATAACTAATTTCTTATCTTAGATTCTCTAGTTACCCGTTAAAGTTTTTTAATAACAATATTACTAAATTGATAACTTATTTTTTATAAAATTAAACTTTTCCCAAGAATCAGATAGTCTGTTCTGTTTTTTAGGTTTCCACAACATCGAACTAGGATAGGTTTAAAATGATGAAAATTGGTCTTTCAAAAAAAGAAAGAAAGAAAGAAAGAAAATCACTTTTGCGCTTCTTTCATCCGAGACACCTGTGAGTACAAACTTTTGATACCCTTTTCGCATGGCTGGTTATATTTCTCGTGACTCAAGTTCTTTAAATTTAACCGCAGTGCTGTTGTTTCAGCTACAAACACATCTGAAGTAATCTTCTGTTATTGTTCTTGCTTTTTGCAATTTAAAAAATCATCAATTAAGTTAGTAGCAAACTTCTGTGGTTGGAATAGATCATGCATGATCAGTAGCAAACTTCTGTGGTTGGAAAAGATCATGCATCACGTGAAGGTCTCCTTTACATTTGCAAGTCTAAATCCTCCATTATACTGACTGCAAAAAGAGAGTACTGCTGATTTGAACCAATAATCATCAGTAGTACAATTTTATTTAATTTTCATGTTATTTCATGAAAATTAAATAAAAAGGGATTCTGCAGCATCCAACATCTTAAAATATTCATGAAAAATCTAGGTCGTTCAGACTCTTGTCTCTCTAATCGTGTGGCCGCTGAGCAGCATTTTCCCTGGTCCACACACATTTTCCCACACTTTTCTAGAGATAATCTGAGAATCATATAAAAAGGAAACCTATGGCATTCTTAGCTTCACCATAGCAGATAGTGCAAGCTCATCGCCTTACTTAATTCCACAACTTGTAAGTTCTCTTCAGCCTTGTTTTAGCTAGCACTTGTTTTAGCCTTCATCATCATGGCACCAAACAGAGAAACACTAGTTGACTCTTACTCAAAGAGTGGTAACAAAGCCCACACGCCCCGTAGACTTTCAATGGAAAATCTCCAAAGAACGATATCTGACATCTCATTTGAACTCAGCAAGGAAGGAGTTGATCATCATGCGAAGCTCGCACCGATTTCTGAGATAGAAGATGCCAAGTGTGAGTGCTGTGACATGTGTGAAGAGTGCACCCCTGAGTACATAAAACGAGTGCGAGACAAGTTCTCAGGGAAATTGGTTTGTGGGTTATGTGCAGAAGCAGTTAGTCAGGAAATGGAGAAAAATGGAGGCAATAAAGAAGAGGCCTTGAACGAGCACATGAATGCATGCGTAAGGTTTAATAGGTTTGGGAGGGCATATCCTGTCTTGTCCCAAGCTGAAGCCATGAGGGAGATGCTAAAAAAGAGTGCAAGTCTTCGAGCCAAGTCCATTAGTCCTAGAGATAGAGGTGGTCACCAGAAGGGTACTCCGGGCATTGCAAGGAGCTCTAGTTGTATTCCATCATTCACAAAGGTAGATCACTGACCGGAGAATGATCAATTGAGCTCTTTTATGGAAGTGATCCGGTTCATTTAGGATTGTATTTCTGTCCACAGTCTTGGAGCTTGCTTAAAACCATATTGAGTCTTCTTTAGTTTGCAAACAAGACTCTTCTTTCCTCTATAAACCACTTCGGCTGATATATGTAGACTTCTTCCTTCAAGTTACAATAAAGAAATATTATTTTGACATCTAGGTATTCAAGAAGCAAGTTTTAGGTAACCATTATCCTATGATTATTGTAAGCTTCATAACTGAGACCCTTTTATACTGAAACATTTCACAACGAGTATGGCCTTGAACCATAGTTATTACCATAATTATGTTTAGTCCTATTCCTATAAACCTAGTGGTTATGCAAAGTCTTATTTTCCATGGGTAGTTTGGTTAGCTCTAATGTCTGTTCTTCTAATAAGGCTTTATTACAACTCTCTAGCTCACCATTATTAGTCAACAAAATATAATTCAATGATGGTGAGAATTGTTATGGAGGTGTAATACTTATAGAAGACGTTTTAACAATTGTTGTTGGTGTAATATACTTTATTTATAGATCAATATTTTTATTGTAATGATCATTGTTCTATACAACATCCTTTGTAATATCATCCATGTAGTGATCTTAATTTTTATAATTTTTTATTTATAATTTGTTATCACTCTATTTTTATATATTACTTTTTTATTTAATATGACATTTATAATCTTGATGATCTTCCATTTTTGGATTGGTCCTTTCCTTCATAATACCATTAGTTGTATTTCTATTTCTTAAATCCTCTATCAATATATTTTTCTCCATTATTATACCTTAAATATTTCAACTTTAAGTTTATTTCAATATCAATTATGACTTTTTATTTTTTGAATGTTTTAAACATGTCGTATTTATTTTTTAAGAAGTAAAACTATACTTTTTTTTCTTTCTAAATTCATTGATAAAGATAACATAATACCAAAAACATCCAAGAGATGCCACCATAAAATGTCATTGTAACTCCATGTGTATCGGTCGTTGTTACCTACTTTTTGGGGTCCCCACACAAAAAGTGAGAGGAAAAGAGAAAAAATAAAAAAATAAAAATAAAAAACAATTGTTGGAAGAAAACCAAATATATATATATATATATATATATATATATATATATATATAAGTAAGAAGAGGATACCATAGTGCCTAGAAAATAGTCAAAGATTGGTTAAGGAGGATAAAACATATAAAAATTAAAATTTGACAGTATATTTTCTACTGATAAAGGCCTTGTTGGTAGAGAAAATTCAATTTGAGGAAGAGAAACTCAAAATTAGATGTTTAAGAATCCAATTATATTTTATTGAAAGTTTAATTGAATTTATGGAGGGTTTGATTGCAAGAAAATTAATTTTTTTTAAAGTCAATCTAGGCTTAATTAGAAGAAATTAAAGTTTAGGAGTCAAATTAAAATTTATAAGAGTTCATTTGATCAAATCAAAGGCTTAATTGTATAAATATTATAGTTTCATGAGCAATTAAAGACTTGATTAAATAAATCCAAAACCATGGACCAAATGAAAACGATGCGTGACTATAGGGGCTATAATTGACCGAATCAGGAACTAAATTAAAGAAATTAAAAATTTATTGATCAATTGAGGGTTAAAATATACAAATTTAAAATTAAGGATCAAAATGAAAAAGACAACCAATTTTAGGACAAACATTTGAGTTTGACTGGTATTAAATTGAATTGATTCTCAAAATCAAATCTTAATTAAAAACTTGATTAAATAACTAAAAAATTAAAGACTGATTTGGAGATAAAGACTTATTTTATTTTATTTTTAAAACACAAAATGACACCATTTTATTTAAATGAAATAAAGCCTTTTTCTCTAAAAAAGGACAAAGTGATGATGTTTTGATGGTACTGTGTACCATCTTCTTCCTATAGGCATGCGCTATAAGTAAAGGAAGAAGGTTTTTCTCCCCTCTTAGCAGTGCCTCCCTCTCACTCTCTCTTTATCTCTCGTATATGCCCAAAACCCCAACACAAGTCACACCCTTTTTATGGCCTATCATTATGATGAAAGGAGCAGAGGGGACAAGTGACACAACTAAAAAATTGATGTCTTCTAACATAAAGGAGGTTTAAATCGGATTATAAATTGTTAACATTATTACATTAGTTATCTTATTTGAATAAT